TTTAGCCACTAGGGGCTCCTTAAAGCTAACTGCTAAGTCCACTTATCATGTTTCTCTTCTTTCTTTTACTTTTGTTTTTCTCTTTTGGCACATCCTTATTTTCTGATACTACAATAAATGCCAGCCTTAGAATAAGTCATTTCTTCAAAGAGTTCTGGCTTCTTTTCTAGACTGGAGATGTATAAGCATTCAGTGTAAAGTACTTGCCTACCTTGTGCAAGACCCTTAACTCAATCCTCTGCTCCATGCATAGAAAAGAAAAGATCATAGAACTAAGGACGAGATAGGACTGTACAAGTTTGATAAACATATAGACTATTTTTGTATTCCTTGAAGTGTGACAACAACTATCTTAGAGTCAAGCAAAGTAAAGCTGAAATTATTTGTGAAAAAAGTTCTGAAATAATTACTATAATTTTCTTCATAGTAACTCAATATTAAAATGTTCATCACATAGAGATTCTTTATGTCCCCCAAACCCAGGTAGAGGCTGGGAAGATGACTCAATGGGTATAAAGCATTAGCAGAAGACTGTAGACCAAGATCAACCCTAAGATACCACCCACACAATAAGTCAAATGTGATGGTTTGGATACATCTGTATCCAAGCATTCCTATTGTGATCTGGGAGATTAAAGAGGATGGTGGCCAGAAGCTCTAGCTAGCCTGCAGCACAGTGACAGAAAAAACAAGGTGATGAGATGTGACTTTACAAAATTTGTCATCTTAGCTCTACACACACACACACACACACACACACACACACACACATATGTGTGTGTATACGCACATATATTATTTTAGAAAAAAAGAAAGGAAAAATTACCTGGCAGAAATATGAATCCTAAATAAAACAGCTATAATATAACATCTAAAACTTGAATGAAATATATTTACTGGGGGTTGGAGAGATGGCTCAGAGGTTAAGAGCATTGCCTGCTCTTCCAAAGGTCCTGAGTTCAATTCCCAGCAACCACATGGTGGCTCACAACCATCTGTAATGGGGTCTGGTGCCCTTTTCTGGCCTGCAGGCATACACATAGACAGAATATTGTATACATAATAAAATAAAATAAATTAAAAAAAAGAAATATATTTACTGAAGGCTTTGTCTGTTTAAGGCAGTATAGAGTGTATAATTTCACACCCAAAGAGATTTGTAAAATTAAAATATATAAAGGTGAAATGTTTATTTGAAATAAATACAGTCAGTAGGTGGCAGAGTTGAGACACCAAATAAGATTGATCTGTTTCTCTGAGGTTTGAGAATGACAGGCAGAAACCCTTTTCGACTTCAATTTTATTGAAGTATAGATGACAAAAAAAATCTATGTATTTATGATATAAATGGGATATAGCTTAGTAGAGCACCTGCTAAGCATGAAGCCACTGAATTTAATCCTTAGCACCACAAACAAACATGGAGCTGTGAATTTCAGGCTGGAATGTAAGTTAGTGGTAAACTGCTTGCCTAGCATGTGAAAGTGTCTGTATTAGACCCACAATGCCCCTCTGCCTCAAAAAAGGTGGATTAAGTGTTTATATAAACTTTCATGTGAAAGTCAGTTACTTCTGATAGACCTCAACCATGATAAAGAAAATTTAAGATATTCTGTATCTGTTCCACAGGAGTTACTTAGCAGGTAACATATGAATCAATCTGACTTACCTACATGCTGAAAGTGAGGACTACTAAACATAATGTCTTTTCTTCAAATCCATAATTAGACTTGTGCACTATATTAGGTAAAGTGTTACAAATAAATATTCCACTGAATGCTATCTACTAAATTCATGTAGTTTACATTTTAGTATATTGAAGATGTTATAAACTCTGTTTCAAGTAAGAAATTTCAATATATAAAAAGATAAGGCATTTAGGAGAAAACAAATCTGAAAAGCTAATCTTTTTTCTCTCTTTAAAATCTTCTTAGCATGTAACAAACATGATTCTGAAATACTTACAACGAAGCAGGTAAAGGAAGACAGTGCCACTTTGACTTAAATGCCTTCTAACACATCCTATTATAAATACTATAGTTTTAATCAGAAAAGCAAATTTGGATGACAGACTTTAAAGCCATAGAAAAGGCAACAAATCAATATAGTAAAAAAATCCATTTTAATGTCTACATCTCTCATCTAACTCATGAATGAAATTTAAACCAGTTCCTTCTTTGTTTTAAATGTAATTTGTAGTATCACAATTCATTACTTCTTTCCTCTATCAAAATTTTATATAGCCCCTATTATGTGCCATAATGTTGTAGCTAGGAACCAAACAAATGAGAAATAGTGCTGTCACAGGGATAACAGTCTTGGGAGGAAAGTAGACAGCTAATAAATACAACAAATCAATGTCAGAAGGTGATAAATGGTATGGGGGGAATCAGAGAAGATAGAATATTTCCTTATTGAGAAAGTGAAGATGCACAATGACATGACTGCAATCATCAAGCTCAGACAGATACCTTTGGAAGAGAAGAGCACAAGAGTTGATGCCCCCCCTGTAGAGCATCATGATAAAATAGTGCTGCACTAGGACAGAAATGAGCATAATAAAGGACAGGGAAAGTGCTCTGAAAGGAAGCAGGAAGCCACAACTAATCAATGAGTAGAGTAATAGGAGTTGTAGGGAAGATTTCTTCTGCAGGGAAATGACAGTGGAGGATTGAAGCAGTTGTACCTTATAGGTGATTCTGAATTCTTTGGCTTTTACTAAGGGAAATATGAAGCCACTGCAGAGAAGATAATATATTGCTTTTATTTTTCAGGCTGGCTCTTAATAATATAGACTAGCCTAGTCTGGAACTCATTACACAGTATATTCACAATCTTCCTTTCTTCCTGAGTATTGCTTCTATAGCTATAAACTACCATGCATAGTAAAGAAAATTTAAAGTGTCATTCTGTCTTGGTATTTTAAAAATTAGGTAGATGTCAGAGATTTCTAAATAAATAAAGGTACTTGTTACTAAGCTTGATGACCTGAGTTCGAGCCCTAGAATTCACAAGAGTACTGACTTGTTTGATTGTCCTCTGATCTACTGGCATGTGCCCCTCCCTCTTCCTACAAAATAAATCAATGAAGAGGAAACAAAGTTGAGTGGGCAGAGAAGGGGAGGATCTTGGTAAAGCTGGAGAATGAAGGGAATTCGACTACATTGTACAAAATTCTCAAAGAACTGATGAAAAAAATAAATGTAAAAATTTTAATTATGTGGAAAGTATAAAAATATACTTGAGATGGTAGTGATGATGCATTAATCATACATTCTGATGCTGGGACAAATACCTGAGAAAAACAATTTAAAGGAAGGAGATTACATTTTGCTTATGGTATCCTATACTTAGGAGGTTATCAGTGCATGGCTGGTTGAATACATTGCTCTGAGTCTGAGTCAAGGCAGAATATCATGGTAACAGGAACATGTGGCAGAGGTTATTCATGTTATGGTAGTCAGGCAGCAGAGAGAGACAGGAGGAGTCAGAAAGAAGCTACTCTTCAAAGATACACCCACAGTGGTTTATTTCTTTCACTGAGGCCATACCTTCTAAAGCTTCCAGTAGATGAAACTAAACTTTCAATACATGAGCCTGTGAGATCACTTAGTATTCAAACCATAACAAATGGTTTTGTTGTAAAGAGGCAACAAGTACATGGGTGAAATTCTAGTAACCATGGCAAGAGCAGATTGTTTTGAGAGTGTAAACTGAAAAAAAAAAATCCCAATAAAAACACTAATTTTTCTTATGCTAGACAATTTAATACTAAAATTTACATGAAAAATGTAGCCCATTATCTCTTGGGTAGGTAAGAAGAGTTCAAAAATTACTGTAGAATACCATATCAAGGTAGAACTACTTCTAATTTATATTAGAACACACAACATATCTTCTGAAAGGAAAGAGATAAACTAGAATAGAAAACCCAGAAATAGATGAAGTACATATGGAAACCAGGATAAGTAAATATAACTAAAGGAAATATATAACTAAGAATAACTAAAATGACTAGAGTGAGGAGGGCCTGTTTGCTGAATGGGACTTGGAAAACTGGACAGTCCTCAAAAATCATACTCATAATATAACAACTACAAGTAAAACTAGTAAAGCTGATGAAGATCATAGTTTGTTAATTTATGAACAGATTTTGCTTTTGTGTTGGGCACTAGAATCTAGTAATTTCCAAGGCCCCTTTTTCTTTCATCTCTAGGGACTTCTTCACTAAACAAAACATCAAACCCTCCTTCTTTGAAACATGTATGTACCCACTGTTACTGCAGCTTATTTGATGTCCCTATAGCAAATTGTATGCCACTTATTTAGCATATGGTATTATTTTCTTGATGCACAGGCACAAAACAGCTAACTCTGGTTTTATAATTCCCAACTGTAAAACAGACCTTAACAATTTACATCCTTGCTTTTTGCTTTCTCAACCCTGTTCTCTGAATTGCTTGCTGTCAGAGTAAAGTGAGGTAAAGTAGTCTTGTAAAATGTAGAAGAAGAGTCTAAAAGTATACAGAACTAAAACAAATTTTCTCTGGTATAATAGTTGATGCCAGGAGTCTCAAGCATGCAAGTGAAGCATCCTATCACTGAGCTATATACCTCCAGTCCATGATAAATAAAATATCAAAACACTAACAGTGTCCCATACTTCTCCATTCCCTCTCTCTCATTAGCTATAAAAATGTAATGAGATCATCTACTTTCTGGATCAAAGCCTTGGGTGAACTTGATGCCTTGCAACTATAATAATTGCTAGCTAAGCAGAGCACTGTGGAAACATGGCCCTCAAACGCAGACCAACAAAGACTGAAGTAAACTAGGTCTCTCCTATACAGAATACTATTCATTTGATATTACATGGAGATTTCTTCAGTAAATCAACTTTTAGTTGAAAGCAGTGCATGTACTTCGGAAACGTAGAGTTCAAAACTACATCAAAAGGTAAGCAATTCTGTGAACATGTTTTAAGTTACCAGTATACTTACAGTTTTTTCATGATTTTCAAAAGCCTCTCTGGCTTCTTCGTATGTGCAGACTTCTTCTTTGCACTCACGCTCAATGTTGCCCTGTCTTATTTCTTCAAAAAGCCCATTGGCTCTTGGGTAGCGTTTTAATACTGAGTTGGCCTTTTCTCCCGTGAGGAAAACTAAAAAGAGATATAATAATAAGCATAAAACAGCAGTAAGAAACTCATGTGGGAAATTGATATACAAGAAGAAAACTGCCTGTTTGTCCTCAGAAAACACACAATATTCTAAACATCTTTCAGTAAACCAAGAGTGAAAAAATGTTTTAACTTGAAACGAAAGTATTTGATAGATTCCTCATAATGGGAATATATGCTTTTAGTCCACATGGCTCTGGGCAGTAACAGTGACATAGTTACCCATGTTATACCCAGACTTAAGCACATTCCTGAGCACCATGGGTGTTTAAAAATAGTAATAATGATAGCATTACTTATATTCATTACTGTAAGTGGATACTCCAAGGCATTCTGCAAGCAAACCAAAGGCCAGTTTCTGCCTACCTAAAAATAAATACAAATCCAATTGACCTAATAATATAAACCTAGAGAACCATTACTTAAAGAAAAGACTTAGCATGGTGAAAGTCTCATTACAGATCTCCAAAGCTTGTAAAAGATAAAGAATATACTCTAAAGAACTTTCTGGAAAAAAATGAAATATAAAAGATAAATTTATCTACACCTCAGTTCAAAAAGCAGTAGTAATAATTGTAAATATAGTATAGCTATACTTCAAGGCACTTAATCTCATTTCATCATATTTAAAGAAAATTATTTTATCATGAACAACTGTAAGCACGTGTGCACACGTATACATATGCAAACACACATGCAGCATCCTTTTTAAGTTCAATTTTTTTCTTTTTTGTACGAGGTCATCATGATTTGGTTTATACTTTACATATATGATTCATTTAAATTCAGATGATAAATTTTAATTGACAAAGCTTAATCTGTATTTGAGTTTCATAAAATGCAACCTTCAAAGTATAGTCACATAGCCAGACAGAAAAGGTTTCCAAACCTGAACTTAGTCATAAAATAAACTTCAACAGGTGCAGTCCTATTGGCGAAATGTGTCATCTTTTTCAGGATAATTGATTTCATTGAAGCAAATATGGTAATTTTAAAATCACATTACTTTATACTAAACAAACTTACCTACTCTCCCCTCTTTCTCCCTACCTTTGCTCCTGGTCACAACACATTTTTAAAAGTTATATTTGTAATGAATTCTCAGGCAGTTCTCCTATTACCACAGTTTAAAAACCACTACCCTAAGATCAGTTCCTCAGAAGATGGTTTTGAGTGTTTATGGAAAATTTGTTTTATCAGATTTAGACATATTTTATTGTGTGACTTGTACGGTCTTTAAAATATATTTAATATATACATCAGAATTATCTTAAAAACGAGTGTGTCTGGTTTTGGTTTGACTATGGAATTCTTTCCAAGACATATTTAACAAAATTATAACATTTTAGTCCCAGGTCATATTCATATCTTCTAAAATAACATTAATATAAGACAGCAATTGACTTGTACCCAGACTTCTTTTTTCCAAGACAATCTTTTTTTCCCTTCTTCATCTGTTTCTTATGTAAGTGGATATGATTTTCTGGACCCACACCCACCCTCTCCAATAATCTAGTGTTCTGTGCTGAATATAGTTCTCAGTAAGAATTAGAATTTTATCTGAATTTTCATCATTCAAATTTTAACACAATATATACATTAATTCATTTTAAAATATGACCAGCTTTTATATCTCATTTCCTAAGCATAAATCAAATAATACACAGTAAGAGATTTTGAATTTTCAACAAGAAAAAAGCAAAATACCATGAAGAGGAAATTATCTTCTCATATGCTAGCTAAATGGAAAATAAGTGTTATGGAAAGTAGCTCACTCCTAAAAGTAGAAAGCAAGCTAACTGAAAGGTGATATATTAGGACACAAACTTCTAATTCCAGACTAATCAAATTACCAGGAGCATTCCACATAAACATCTCTTATGTATTTCTTCTACCAAGAAGCAAGGTAACATAATACTAAGAACTCTAGATGTTGGCAAGAAAACTTATCTCCTTGCCAAATATACTTAAATGGAAGATATTATGTGAAGTAAAAGTTTGACCAATAGTAAAAAATAGTATTATAGGTAAGTTGTATCTGCCATATATCAGGGGACAATAAATGAAAAAAGAACATTTGACGGTATTTTAAAAAGTAGTTTGGAAATCTAATGGACTCTGCAAAATGATAAAAGAATTGGGAACTTATGAGACAGTTCATCAGGTGCTTGCCAGCAAACCTATAAACCTGATTCTGATTCCTGGAATCAACAGTGGAAGGTGAGAAACTTTACACCTATACTTCATGGACCATGTGTGCAAACACACACATAAAAACTATTTTTTTATTTTTATTTTTAATAGAGTAGAATATGGCAACTATAACTTATAGAATGAAGTTACATTATCTCTTTATGTAGTTCCTTTTTTTGAAAAAAATATATATTTTATATAATACAGTTTCCCATTCCTCAATGCCTCCCAGATCCTCCCTAGACACCAAACTTCATGTTTTCTTTCTTTCTCTTTAGAAAACAAATAGGTGAGCAGGGCAATTGTGGTGCACGTCTTTAATCCCAGCACTCAGAAGGCAGAGGCAGGCAGATCTCTGTGAGTTCAGGTCAGCCTGATCTACAGGAGCTAGTTCCAGGACAGCTAGGACTGTTACACAGAGAAACCCTGTCTTGAAGAAAAAAAAAAAACGGAGAAAATAAAACAAGTAAGTAAACAACAAAAACCAACTTGCAAAACAAAGAAAAAGCACAAGAAAAACATCCACACCAGCAAACACCATAGAAATATAAAATTGGAAACTATAATATACACACAAAAGATCAGTAAGACAATAAATGCTCAAACAAAGCAATGAGACAGAACATCTACTAAAATACCATCGAGTTCATTTGAGTTGACTGTCTACTGCTGCACATGGGGCCTACTCGTAAGTGTAGGGAAACTCCATTGAAGGAAACTAATTTTTCCTTTGCAAGCAATGTAAAATACAGATATCTTCTTGGTTAGGGATGTACATTTTCTGTTGTCAATGTTGGGACTCTGTCTGGCTTGAACCTGTACAGGTCAAACACTGCACAATATCCAGACTACAAGGCTTACCTCAGGACTTTTCCAGACTGGATAGACTTGAATCAGAAATTTAAAATTCAAACTTAGAAGCTAAATATATAGCATGGTTTAATGTTCAGTATATGTAAGACTCGGTGATCAATCTTCAGTTTAAAATTAAATCAAGATAACCCACATCACTCCTGGGCCTTACCTCCAATGCTGCCAGACTTCCATTACTCAGGTGCAGGCCACACAAGTCAGAAGAGCATGTGAGTGATATGCCTTCCAACTGAACTGTAACACTCCAGATTTTGTTCCCCATGACCCATTCCTCCACCTGTCCCTCCAACTTCTGTCCAAGTTGGGAGCTTGCCTTCTGGAGGTTAACTTGGTCTTTGGTGCAGCAGGGGTCACTGTTCTTCTGACTAGTATAGCCTGCACATGTTCTTCTGACTAGTGTGGTCTCCACTTGAGTAGCAGGAGTCCCTAAGGGCAGAGCAGGGCAGAGCATGTCCTTGGGTCTGGCAATGAGGTTGGAGGGACTTGAAGAGAGAGAATACTAAAATTAACAAAGTCAGAAATGAAAAAGGGTACATAACAATAGAAACTGAGGAAATTCAAAGAATTAAAAGAATGCACAAAACTAAAATATGTAAAAGAAATGGACAAATTTCTTAACAGATAACACAAAAGTTAAATCAGGATGAGATTAATAATTTAAATAGACCCATAAAACCTAAGAAACAGAAGCAGTCATCAAAAGTTTTACAACCAAAAAAAAAAAAAAAAAAGCCCAGGACCAGACAGTTTTAGAATAAAGTTATACCAGTTTTTCAAAGAAGAGCCAATATCAATATTCATAAAGTTATTTCACAAAACAGGATAAAGGGAACATTGTCAAATACTTTCATGTGGTCACAGTTACTCTCATACCCAAATCAAACAAAGACTAAAAAAAAAAAAAAAAAACACCACCAATTTCCCTCATGGACATTAATGCAAATAAATTAAAATACAGGCAAATCAAATTCAAAAACACATCAGAAAGATCAAAGAAGCAAAAATATAAAATGGAAAAAAGAAAGCATATTCAACAAATGGTGCTGGCATAACTGGATATCGACATGTACAAAAATGAAAATAAATCCATATTTATCATTATGCATAAAACACAAGTCCAAACAGATCAAAGACCTCAACATAAAACCAACCACACTAAACCTGATAGAAGAAAAGTAGGAAGTTCACTTTAATGCATTGGCACAGGAGACCACTTCCTAAATATAACACCCGCAGCACAGACACTGGGAGCAACAATTAATAAATGGGACCTCCTAAAAGTGAAAAGATTCTGCAAAGCAAAAAACATGGTCAAAAAGACAAAGCAGCAGCCTAAAGAATGGTAAAAGATGTTCACCAACCCTATATCGGACAAAGGGCTGATCTCCTTAATATACAAAGAACTTAAGAAACTGGCCATCAAAAGAACACATAATCCAATTAAAAATGGGGTACAGACCTCAACAGAGAACTCTCAACAGAAGAATCTAAAATGGCTAAAAGACACTTAAGGAAATGCTTAACATCCTTCCTTAGCCATGAGAGAAATGAAAATTAAAACAACTCTGAGATTTTATCTTACACCTGTAAGAATGACCAAGATCAAAAACACTGATGACAACTTATGCTTGAGAGGATGTGGAGTAAGGAACACTCCTGCATTGCTGGTGGGAGTGCAAACTGGTACAGGTGGTTTGAAAATCAGTGTGGCACTTTATCAGAAAATCAAGAAACAACCTACCTCAAGACCCAGCAATATCACTTTTGAGTATAAACGCAAAGGATGCTCAATCATACCACAAGGACATGTGCTCAAAGATGTTCATAGCAGCATTATTTGTTATAGCCAGAACTTGGAAACAACCTAAAAGTCCCTCAACAAAAGAATGGATAAAGAAAATTGGTACATTTAAAAC